CTTTCAGGAACTGTTTCCGGAACACATTTAGCCCAGCCCTTCTCCCGACAGGCACCTCTGCCAGCTGCTGCTGCAGCAGCATGGCTGTGCCAGGCAGGCCTGGCAGGAAGGCAGCAGGGAATGACCGAGGACCAAGGACCAAGGACCACTGAATCCACAAGTATAGCCTGTAAAATACATGGATATTACTTCCAACTTGCTTCCTGCCCAGCCCAGCGCTGCATGTTTTCCATGTGATACAAGGCTTCCGTCAGTCCATCAGGTGTTGGCCCAGGCTTCAGTCCATGGTCCATGTGGTCCTTGGACCTTAGGACCAAGGACCGCACGAACCACAGACCGAGGACCAAGGACCAATTAGGCCAATTACCTAGCCGCTCTCATGCGCACTCAGCCCACTGCGCTCGGGTCCCGATTCAGCAGGTTGCTGTGCACTGCGAAGAATTGCTGCCCTGAGTTGTGTCGTTGGTACAAAGGTTCTTGCCCTTGGGGATCTGGGAACCACAAGCTGTGTGTAGCACATGTCGCAGATGACTGTCCTGGGACGCCTGATGCAACAAAGTCTTGGGCAGCTATCTTCCATCCACTCAAAAACGTTGCAAGCCAAGTAGGATGCCCCAACTATAGTCCAAATGGCCACCCCAATGATGGCAAGAAGGTCCACAATGCCCATTTGAGACTCCATCATTACAAGGCTAATCAACAGGCGACAAAAATATCTGACCTGTTCTACTTTTAGTTTTGAGATTTGGGTTAGGTGTTGAACTATACTATGGCTGCTGAATTGAGGTTGCTTCTAATTAGAAATCTTCCCTCACTAGCTTGGGCCACCTGGCTGGCATTTGGCAGCTTTGTATGCATTTACTACAAACCTAGCCTAGGAGCATGTACCCAGTGTTGGACTGAAGTGTGCTCTAGCCAGAGTGGAGAACAAATCATACTTGCGTGTGAACCTTGCTGCATGTTGACGAAACAATTATAACATCAAATTTACAGGGCTTGATACGTGCTTCTTCTACCTTGCACATTGCCAGGTGGTAACAAAAAGACAGGGTCAAGAAGCAAGGACCAAGGACCCAAACATATCAAAACAAATGTGTGCTATAGAGCAGCATTGCCTACTCAATGTGGTGAAGCTGTGGCCAATGACAGCCAACCCTTCCTGTACCTCCTTCTATCATTGAAACAAAATCTTGCCATCTTCAGATCTTCACATCTTCCAAGCTTTAAAGCTTCACATAGAAACTTTATAATTTTCCCATGGATATTCACTAAGTGGTTTGTGTGCTTGTGCACAGTCTACGGGGGCTCAGCATCACCAACCTAGCTTGGAAAACCAAAGCCCCAGTTGCAAAAACCAAAGCCCCAGTTACCATGAATAGAGTTTATTGCATCTTTCGAGGAACCCGCATGGAGCAATCTCCATGTCGAGCAACGCCCTGCGCCATTACACCGAGGCGGTCACAGGCAGAACTCTTCCTTTGCACTTCATCGACGATGACGGAGACGATGATGAACTCCCGCCACCGCCGCCGCCGGCGGAACCTTGCCCGTACAAACGGGACAAGGACGGAGTTCACCGCCCGGTCGCGGAGGAACTGCCTGCCCTCAAAAGAAAGACCGCCGCTGATCTCGGTGCAGCTCCTAAGGCGAAGGCCGCGCCAGACAGCCTCAAGAAGCTCCGAACTGGTGACAAAGTCGTGAATGTCGACATGTCCAGCTCGGCGGAAGCCGGAGCCAAGAAGGGCTCATCAGAGGTGGTCGACGTTGAAATGGAAGAAACGGCAGGGACATCATCATCTTCTGCCAATCCTCCCAAGGCGAAACACACGCCAAAGCCATCATCCGTGCCCAAAGCCGCAGCATCGAGTTCTGCGGCTCCCGGAAGGGATGCGCCCAAATTGGTCCCAGCAGGAGGAACTCCGATCCGCACAACAATGCCGGCAAACCAAGTGCCTGGTGCCGCGGTGATCGGATGGTATGACCAGGAGCAGTTCTTTGTTTCAAAGCGTGTCTCCGGCCTGCTGCGAGGGCATAACCATGCCAATCGACGAGATCGCATTCCGCTTCCGGACTTCCAAGATGGAGCATGGATGGATTTTGCATCGGTGTTCTCATTCATCAAGAGGAGGTACTCCCGCTCCCTCACTGTGTCGGACTTGATTGACATCGTAACGTCAAACCATAGGTTTATGCTCGATGTGCAGCTTGCCCGCGAGGGGGAACTCTTCGCTGAGAAGTATCTCTTCCTGCCGGTGCGAATCAAGGCAATCCAATCTCACAACGACTGGATTCTGGAGAACATCAACATGGCGTGGCCCGAGGTCGACAGAATCATCTGTCTTGATCCGTCGTTCACGATCGAACGCCTGCTGCGAAGGGAGCATCCTACGCTTCCAGTACGACTTGACTTGCACATCAAGGATATTCACCCCAAGATCTTGTACCACTACACTCATATCGCCTTCTTGGATGATGTGATCCGATGTGGCATTTGTCCGGGGGGACTCAGGACTAGCAAGGCCCATTCGTACTTCTCGGCTTTCGATCCGTGGAGCATTCAGAAGACGAGTCAAGCAGGAATGGCCTCGACCAGACCAGTTGCGGTAGCAGTTGATGTTGAGATGGCGGTGTCATATGGAATCAGGTTCGCCGTCACTCAAAGCCAAGCCGTCGTGACCACTGATTGGGTTCCGAACCAGTTCCTCATCTATGCGTATGATGTGTCAGCAAAGTGCTTCATCTATGCGAACCACGATTATGCAAAAGAGAGAGCCTCATTCAATCAGGATCTCCGAGACATTGTCGTGCGTCGCCGGGAACGGCTTGACCGTGGTGATGAGGCAGATGACAACGCAAGAAGGCAGTCATTGCTGGCAAGGTCTAGGTGGGACCTGTTCGGAAAATATGAGAAATGGGTGCATGGGGCCTGGGTGGAAAATGCCTTCATCCTCGAATCATACAACCGTGAGTTCTGCAAGGACCAGCTCGAGCATGCAGATGCCAATATCGGAACGTACTCAACTCCCTACATGGCAATTGCATGGCAGCCGGAAGGCGATGCCCCCAACAACTCGGCATGGCCTCTCTCGCTGGGATCAGTTGATTGGGCGCATTGGACCCCTGAGATGGAGATGCGCTATGATCCTCGGGGAAACGAAAAGTTCTTCACTTCACGGTGGATCACCGTTCGCCAACACGACGTTGAGCCACAGCATTGCATTGACTGCGGATCCGATTCCCCATTCGGATGTTTGTCGTGCTTGAACTGTGGACGACTAGCTCGTGTTGCAACGGATATGAGGAAGGCATCGCTGCTTGTCCGTCTTGAAAACTTGGCCGCAAGCTTCGGTTTCGACTTGTCATTGGACATGTTCCCGGATGACGATATTCGTGCCCGGGGGGACCGTGGGCTGAGGAATCCTGCAGGTGGTAGGATCAGGACTGGACAATCTGCCATTGCGACAATCCGAGCACATGCCAAGTCGCACATGGACAAAGCGTCCAAATTGGAATTTGGCTCGCTCACAGAGCGGTTGCGCTTGGATCCATTCTACGCGTTCAACTGCGCGGCGCAAGACATGTCCCCTGACTGTTTGAAGTTTTTGCAACGACTCAGTTCAGCGGTATTGCCCATTCCGACGCGCACCGCCCAACAAATCCAAGAAGGGGTAGGCGTCAATGTGAAAGCAAAGATCTTGATGATCCCCGACACATCTCAGCGCGAAGTCGATGTGTCGAACGAGGTCTTTGTGTTCTGGAAGAACAAGATCCTACGCCCTGGTGTCTTTGTTGGACTGTACGCAATGGAACACCACCGCTTCGAAGTCTTGGGGTTCTCTGGTTCATTCCTCTCGGAAGAGAAGGACGTAGAGAAGCTGAAGACGGAGTTTGTTGGATGGCTGTCATCCGACCTCCAGAGCATCCCGTCCTATGAGAACCTTGTGCGAGCAGACCCAAGGAACATCCATGTTCCGGAAAGAGAGGGTGTCGATCGAGCAAAAGGGAAAGGTAAGGGCACATGGCGCCACGGAGGACGACAGGCCCGTGAGAATGCACCTTACCCAAGGAATCGGTGGGCCCGTGACTGGAGGGACCTTGATGACGATGTTGGTACCATCCCAGGTTGGCACTATGCGGATTGGACCTGGTACCAAGATAACTACGGAGCGGACTGGTGGGGTCGCGGCCGATAAACCCCACCTATGCACGGCGGGAGCCGATGCCTTACGACAGTTGTGCTGTTCTTTTCATCTAGTGTTTGTGGTAGCGCATTGTCTTGCTAGGCGTCGACGTGCTCTCGGAAGTCCTTGCACGCGCTGCGGAAGCAGTTGCCTCACGTCATCATCTTTGAGGCGGTCCGCAATCTTTGCAAGGCTTAAATTCGATTTAGCCGAAGTGCACTCTTCCTGAAACGGAAGCATCACTAATTATGCCGCGTGGAAACGTGTGCCTACGTAAAAGGCCCATTTCCAGTTTGACGATCTGCGGATGCATGTGAAAAGAGCTGCGTCCGGCTGCAATTCGTCCGTTCGGCATTTTGCTTCATAATCAATCGAGTTAATCGTCGTTCCCTCGCGCCTCAGGTCGGCAAAGAATCTATGAAAGCCGCAGGCACGTACGGTGTTAACCATGAAAGGAAACACCGGGGAACCGGAGGTCAGATTGGTATGCACGTTGTCCCGTGTACATAGTCGTGTATAGTGTTCTTCACTACCTTTGCTGCCAAGTGCGTTCAGCGGGGGGTGTATTTGCACGATTGTACACCTGTACATACCATATTGACCTCTATGTTTGGCTCAAGAAAAGGGCGCTCTACATGTTGGTACTTGTAGGCTGTTGGCCTGTAAATTCAACTACGTACTACCTACTACGTACTATCTACGTACTATCTACGTACTATCTACGTACTATCTACTATCTACTACTGCTGCTACTGCTGCTGCTCCTCCATTTCAAATTGGGGGTAACGACAAAGCGACACCCAGTGGCACCAATCGCAGGAGATTGGTCCGGCCTTTGGTGTCTCTGTTGGCATCGTGGCCTTTGTTTATTGGCTCGGGAGCCCTAGATCGACGATGCAGACATGCCGCATCAATGCCCTCTGGAGTCGCGGGATGTGTGCTGCTTCCCCGGCTTGGAAGCTTCAACATAGCACACCCTTGAGTACCCAGCGAAAAGATCATAAAAGACTCTGCTGCGGCTGTCCTTGAAATTGAACTGACTTCCTTCTTTCTCCTTTTCTGGTCTTGAGTCTCTTCCTTTTCAGTTGGCAAAGCTGCCACGAAAGCTAGAGAAACGGATTTTCTTCGCTGCAGGTCGATCACCTTGCCGATTTTGCTGAATGCCTACCGCGAAAGCACTGGGGAATGGCCGCGCTTTGAGGAGATTGTCCAAGTTTGAGCAGCTGCTGCCACGCTAACTACTGGCGTTTTCCATTCCTGGCGCTTTCTGGCAGGAGCTGTTTTCGCTCTCGGACGGTGGTCGAACTGCAGGTGCCGTCGCAGGTGGGAGACGGCGGGGCAACCCCGTCAAGCCGTTATTGTTGGAGGCTTCCTGAGAGTGTCCAAGAGTTTGGTTTCATCACTCGTTTTCCAGGCATTCTTGGATTGGCAGCCTTGATGAAACCTTTGCGCATTGCTGCTGCCATTGCGCTCACGCCATGGACAGCCTGGATCTCAGTTTTTGTTGCAGAGCTAGGGCATTGGACAAACAAATGCAGGCCGACAACGTTCTGCCGCTCATCCCATGGTTTTGTACTTAGAGTGAGTTGCACAAAAAAGAGTAATCCAGAAGGCGTTTGTTTCTTCTTGAGATCGATTTAAGGGATCACTGTGACCAGATCAATATCATAATCTATTATTGCTATATATTTGTTTTGTATATACAGTATATATATATACACCGTTTCCTTTTTAAGGTGCTCATCATGTCCATGGCAGGCTAAATTCTGGTGACAAGAAGGACAAGCCAGACAAATCCTGAGTGGAACAACCGTATCCACTTTTAAGCATCCATTTTCCACTCTCCACATGGATGAGTGCAATACAAAGCCGTTGGCATGGTGAAAAGAGCATGCACTGGACAGCCAGCACGTTTTGAAGAGTCTTCAGAGTACAGCAGCCAAAGGCAAAGGAACCGGAGAGTGTCGTCTAGACAAAGGAGAGTGCAGTCAGCCAAGAACTGGTTCCAAATCAGTTTGCCCACACAGCGTTTGGCAAGTGTGAATCTTGTTTTCCTGGAGCAAACTATTCTCTTCTGACTTTCTGGGCCCCGCTTTTGGTCTAACAACCGAGACAGCGGGATGCGAGTCATCAGCACCCAGAGGCGATCCCTACACGTCGATCCGTCATGGTGATTCGCTTGTCCGAGACTCGAATCTCCGCAGCTGGGGACGCTTCTCCGAGTGTTTGCGGAGTGATCTCTGCATGTACAAGTTCTCCCTCAAGGAACTTGCCAGTCCCATGCTCTTCCCAATCAAGATGCTTGCAGCCGCTTGCAAGAAATATGCCCCAGAGGTTATTTGCCTTTCAAGAGTTCCAGCCGCTTTCATGCTCCTTCGTGTGGGAGACTGCGGTTTGGCATCATAGGTCTCTCTTTGCAAGTTCTGGTGCTGTGGTGGATTCGCGGCCCTTCGTCCATGTCAAGCTGCGGCAAGCTGGTGTGGCCAGTCCTGTCAGCAACGTACTCCCAGATTTTTCACTTACCTCAATTGTCCATTTCGTGGCACACTGTGGTTTTGGGCAGCCCCAGATGTCGGGCAGCGGCTTGTGCCACGGATGCTTTCCCGACTGAGAGCTCTTGTTGAAACATGTTGAAACCAGGTCAGAAAGGTGCGTTGAACTTGACTACTGGAACCAGGCTCCAGGCATGACCTGGGCAAGGTGCAATCCTTCCAGGACTCAGTACTCCATCCAGTTCGAAGCGAACCCAGACTAACCTACACCGCTGCTTGCATGCTGAAAGACTCCTTCCCAAGTCCGGGCAAAGCAGCCCTGAAAGACAGCCGAAAGGAACCACAAGCTTCAAGGCAGGAGGCGGACCAGATCACCAGGTGAGGGCACATCCAAGACAGGACTTTAAAACATACCACTGTCATATTGCATTTTTTTTTGGGAAGTCAATGTGGCATCTCTGAAAAATCCAGTGCTCGTGCGAAATGCTGCAAAACGATACGGGACGTCCTAAAATTGAATGGGCACACCCGAAACAATCAATTCAGAAAGCAACTCATGTATGGATCTCTTGGAAGGCTACCCACCCAACAGCTATCTAGTGAAAAGACATATGCGGTTTTCCCTGTATCCCCACAAAAACATTTTAGAATTCCGGTTTTGAGTTTGGGTATGGGGCACGCAGATATTCTAATTCAAAGGAGGTTGTGCATTCGGATGGTGGAAAGCCAAAGGAGCTAACGTAGCCAACAATTAACAAAACACATGACGAAGGAACCAATGGGGTACAGTAGTTCTAGTGCAATATCTCCGCCAAAGGCCAATGAACCCTGCACATCCAGTGAGCAATGGATCTCAAGGTTCAATGGCAGTGGCTGAGAAATTCGACCACCGAAATGCAGCACGTCCTTGCCTTCAGGAAGAGTGCAAGAGGTCGAATATGCACTCCAGGGCAAAACCTGTATCGGATTTCCATTACGCAATCGCAAACATGGAGCTTTACCTTGAACAACCAAAGCCACACCCGACAACAAGTCAATGAGGAGAGAATTCAACATTTGTATCATTTCATCCTTGCACAAGGGGAACATCAACAATTAAGTTGTGTGCAAATCGCACATAGGTTTAGCATCGGGGGAAGGTGTTAGCAAAATCAATAACGGGATATTGCACATTGGCACGCTCAGACTTACAGTTGCCCTCCAATGTGGACCATGATCTTCAGAACTGTTGTGTTCGCACTCGTTAATTAACTATATAATGTCGCCACACTGTGTGTTCAGGCACACCTTGCTGCAGGCCTACTCCACCCTGCCGCCGGGGGAGCGCCTGTAGGCGTACTGTACCTCGATGATGTGTGCACCTGCACCTCGGGTAGGCGCAATTTTTTGCACCATGTGTGCACCATCCACCTTGCAAAGGCTGACGCATTCCAGCTGCCACAGGTTGCCCTTCGGACTGCTCAAGGGATCGTTCTGTGGGGGATTCTCATTGGCAGCCCCGAGTTACCCGCCAAAAAGCCTCACTGCAGACTGCTGAGGGTTCACCACCCGACATAGCAGGAGAGTTTCTTATGGCCCATCCCTTGGCTTGTGGCAGAGCCTGGCCATGTGACGCCCCACCACTTGCGTTTGATGCCGGCCACCAGTTGGCTCTAGAAATGGATTGCTCTGACCTGGACGCTCAATTGCGCAGCCGCCAAGTTCCAGGTCCGCGACGGCATCATGCAATGGGGCGAGAGCTGAACAAAGTACGCGCTCTCATTGCTACCATAGACGCCAGAAGAGAAGCAGAAGAGGAAAGGGCCACGGAAGATGCGTGTAGAAGCGGACGCCGCCGACGCGGATCCAAAACCCACGACGCTGCGCCATTTGCGATGCCATATGATCGCTTCCACCAGGTCTCTGTCGAAGACGAATCTGCTTTAGCTATGGTCCACCTTTACATTTTGGTGAGGTCCTTGTTGACAGACACGTTTACCTTCTTTTTTGTGGCGGTCCTTGAGGACTGTTCTTGTCTCTCGGGCACCCTGAATCTTCGTCGTTAAGATCAAAAGGATCAAACAATTATAAGCACCGCAAAGTGAATAATCACAGAAACAAATCTAAGCTTGGCAAGGTATGGCTGGTTTAAAGAAGAGCCTATCATTGTACATTTTTTAATTCTTCTATTTTCTATTGACTGTAACTATCTATTTCAACTGTGCAACCCAACAGCAGGTAGCAGGTAGCAACTCAATTGACTGGAACTGTTCGAACACTCCAACTATATGTCGCTAAAGCTCCCAACCCAAATCCATTTGTGAAATGTGGGAGCTGAGCTGGGGAACAGGAGCAAAAACGGGAGGAATTGGGATCCAGCTGGGGAACAGGCAGGGGGAAAAAGCATCAGAACACAAAGGCGTGTTGCCAGTTATATACGTACTGAACAAATCCAAACGATCATGATATGGCTCGACACGCGACCCTCCCACTGCGCTGCCAAGCCTTTTCGGCTTTTGAACAAAAAGGCAGCTCATGGGCTTGAGTTTGGTTTGATGTCCGTGATATGGTGCACATCTCGATTGTGCGTTTCATCCTTCAACAATCCCCCTTCATCGGCTCGTCAGTGACCGATGATTCCAGAGGTCATCTTTTCTTTTCCATCTCGAAAATTGAGCCTCCTAGGCTCAAGCCACCTTTCTCCCATCATCATCCTTCATAGGGCGTGCAACAGGTGGACGGTGTATACCGCAGTAGAAGATCCGAGCGGAGCCCCATGCATGCCTTATTCGGGTGAATTTCTCCACCTCAGGAGTAGGCCCGCATAGTGAGCATCGTCGTCCTCCCGACATTTCTTGTGCAGTCGGGGCACCAGGTCGACCTTTTGATGGCTCCAGTCCGTGGTGCCACCAAGTAGTCGCATGACTCTCTGCAGTGGAATCTTTTTCCATATCTTGTGGCAAGGGCTGGATGTATTGAGACCATATGTGATGCTCCTGGGCCAGTTCCTCCTGACTCTGGGATCGCTGTATGGCGATATCCTCCAGCTTGTGTTGAGCTGGATGCTGTTGGGTTCCTCTCTTCCTCTTCTTCCATTTCTGGTATCTTCCCCTAATCATCCCTAATCTCACGTGCTTTCTTTTCTCCTTCTTCCCATATCTTCTTACTGTCTTACTTCTTACTGAGTTCCATCGCTTCATGTGAGACTTCCTCCCAGTCAATTGGTTGGACCCAGTCATCTGGGACCTTGAATGGCTTTCCTCCAACCATGATGATTGGGAGATCTTTCACTGTCTTGAGCGGTGGAACATTATTCGTTTTGGTTGGAGGTGTGAGTGGAATCTCTTGTGGCAGTCCTTTCGGTCTTGGGACCAGCGGTGTCGTTGGTGGTTCCCTCTCTTCCTCCTTCTCTTCTTCATCTTCTTTTCTTCTTTGACCTTCATTGTCTTCATCCTTCCAGGTGCGTGGGTGGCAGACTTCTCGATCGTGTGGATCTTCCTCTTGAAGGATACCACATCCTCGGTACTCCTTCCTTCACAACCCACGATACGGCCAGGGTATGAACATGATGGCCATTGTGTAGATCACCACCGTCATTTCAAAGGTGATCTCTGAGGATTCTTCTTCTCCCTGTGCTTTGGTGGCAGTCAACGATGCCACAATGATGAGAACCTTCAGGATGGTGGCTGTCTTGGTCTTCTTGATTCGACTTTCTTCTTGTTACAGTTTTATTATTTGTCTTCTTCATCATTTTTTTCCAGCCTTTCGGAACTTTCAGCCTTCTCTTCCTTCAATTTCTTCTCTGCGTCTTCTGCCGCCTTCTTTCCTTCTTTCATGTTTCCTTCAACTTCTTCTCCTTTTTCTTCTTTCTTAGTCTTAGATCTCGAAGACCCATCTTCTTCTTGAGATCTCCCAGGCCAGTTTCTGTGAGGGGTTTGATTCCGATGTTTGCAATCATGTCTTCCTGGATGGCTTGACAAGTGAAGGCTGATCTGAGCCTCACATGGCGTGTTCGCCATGATCCTCCTTCCGACGTCAGGATTCACAAGCCCGATTGGCTATCGGTCCAAGCCATTCTTGGAAGCCTGCCAGTCAGCTCGTCCAGGATGACGCCAATCGATTCTCCAGCAACCATTCCTTCCACCACCTCGTTCAACTCTGCCTCTGCTGTTGACAGTGTCACTGTGCTCTGTCTTCCGGACCTCCAGAAAATAGGGTTCACACCCGCCATCACGACACAGCATCCATAAGACTCCTCTGAGTTCGGCGCATACGATTCGTCGGTGTAGACGTTGAGCACCAACTCTTCATCCTCCGCCGCCACCTTGTA